AAAAAAAAAAAAAAAGGAAAGAGAGAAAATTGTATTTTGATGATAATGGGGATAAAACAAGGGCTAAGGTTTTATTGGCCGAAGATAACCCATCTCATAATCAAAATAAACATCAACTCGTCTAGATTAGATTCGAGCCAATTTACTAGTTGGTTCATTATAACAAACGGGGCATATCATGCTTGATTGCTAGCCCGACTACTTTCGAGGGACTCTTATTAGAAAAAATAAAATCCAAAAAGTAATTTTAGAGCTCTTTTTCAGTTCTTGACCCAATAATTCTTTCTTTCTGAATTCTTATACGATTTTTTTAATAGACAATACATGTTTCGGCTCTAATTATTTAGTTATCTTCTACAATTTTCACATAATCTCCATTAATATACATTTTTTCAATTATGAATTAATTTAATAGCAGGAATATTAAAAAAGATGACGGGTTGGATTGACGCACTCCACACCACAGTATATGCGAGTCCACGAGCCGATTTCTATATGTATTGTAGTTGGTAGTGTTTATAATATTTTTGAATGATGCATGTTAAGTGAGTTAATTAATATCCACACCCAAATGGGAGAGAAGAATCGACATCAAACAATTAACGCATAGATTTCAGGGATCCATATAATAATCTGCATTGCAGAATTTTTCTTTTTGTTTTTAAACTCTGTGAAGTTTATCCCCAGATTCATTTAATTAAAAATTAAAATTTGATAAAAATTAATAAAATACAAATTGTCATTGGATTAAATTGCCAGGGGACGACTTACAGGGCCGAAACGGCAATCCTGTATTGGCAATTTTTTCTTCTTCTTTTTTTCAACTGTCAATGAGAATCAGCCAAATGTGTATCTGTAAAACCCCAGTAAAAAAATCTCTGTACACCAAGCATGTTCATTGTTATTAACAATTAAAAGATTTCCTAGTGCGTGCGACATAAGAATGTACGGATCCACTCTCGTCCTCCATAGATGAAACATTTGCTTAACATTTAGTTGGTTTAGCTGCTTCAAATATTTCTATAAATTTAACAATCAATCGAATATAACAAAAAGGATTCATATATCCAATCTTAAATTAGGGACAAATCTTCGTTTGTCCTTTTGTTGTTCCCAAATACTAGAAAAATTTTGATCCAACAATGTCCATCCTAGAACACACAGAAGAATGAGAAATCATAGTCTATACTTAACCAATCAATCATTCAAACAAGTTATGTATATCACTCGCACGTCCAGTAAGCTAGATTAGACAACACTTAATAGTATTAAAACCAAAATATTACACAATGCTATCCATTTCAATCTAATACAGCATACTAAACATATACTACAATATCATCCTTGCTCAAAAGCCAGAACATGAAATTCAAATTTCAGACAATTGCTTAAGATTCATGGGATATACTTCAGATTTGAAGTTTGAAGCATAAGCCTTGTTTGCAATAACATGATTTACAGCTTCTGTTGGATGTAATCCATCAAAAAATATATGGTTGCTTCTGTTAGTGCAAATGGATCCTCCTCTCTTGCACAGAATTCCAGTTCCACCATCATTTATTGTAGCCACTTCGCAACAAGAGGTTCTTGTACTGGTAAAACCTGTATTGGGAAACAATAAATTTTGATACTACTTTAGCTATCATTAAAATATAAAATTATAGTGACATAGAATGTTTGGTTGTGCTTCAAGCTGGTAGCTTAAAAGTTACGTACTTTCATAAATAAGCAGCTTTGAAAATACTTTTAAGCACAGACAAATGTGCTAATTTCCTAGGTAACTTGATCTCAATTCATTGGGAAAAAATAATTAATAAGATGCAAAAGACATACCTTTAGAGGCAGGATCTCTTATGATATCCCTAATAACTTTGTATGAATTGACCAAAACAAGAACTGAATCAGGCATTTGTGCTCTTACACCAACCACCAACGTCTTCAAGCGCACATTGAAAAGATGTACGGCTCGATTTAAACTTTCTACACAGCGATCGCGAGTCGGAAACCTAGACTTAGCCATTGGACTGCAGCCATTGGGATTGATTGACATGAGAGCAAACTTTCGAGCACCCAAATTATACAACCTCTGCATTGACATTAATTACTACATTAGATTTTTAACAGATTTGGATGAATTTGAATGGAACCAAACTGGGCCTAGTATGCATGCTCATTAAAGAGAATTCAAAGCACCTTGAGTTGGTGAGTCAACGTAGTGGTCAAATTTGCAGTGAATTCTTCAAGACTGACATTGCTGTTAACCAAACCCATAAAATAATTCAGTGAGTAGTCATTTCCACCACTTCCCACCACGAACAAGAATCTAGGCAGTGATTCTCGGCTTTTACTCCTCAGCTGCACCTCCAAATCTGGCAAAGTCACAGCCTCAAAATTTCTGATTTGTGCATTTAAACTCATCAAATTGCCCTGCAATGCATTGATTGTGCTTATAAGTTGCAGAAATATTTATGGTGCGTGTAAGTTGATAAAAATCTCAGAAATTTGTCAGTGTTGACTTCAATAGTAAAAAGTATTGCACCATTGGTTTCCAACTTATTACTCAAGTTAGCAATTTGGTCGACAACCTTAGGTGCTCGACCTGCAATTTGAAGTTGAGTTTCGTCTGCAGAAATTTGAAGTTGAGCATGTTTACGATGATTTAATAGAAGTTTTGAAAGATTTCCAAATTAATTTTGCGACTATATATTGAAAACTATCTTTCTCTTTCTTAAATAAGTTGGTCGTCCATCTTTATCTATAGCCGTATCATTAATCAACAACTATCTATGGCCTTGTTTGGGAGGAATTAAATTTTTGGGTGCTTTTGATTGTAAGGATGGAAATAAAATAATTTGCAGGGAAAATAATTACATTTAAACTCATCAAATTGCCCTGTAATGCATTCATTGTGCTTATAAGTTGCAGAAATATTTATGGTGCTTGTAAGTTGATAAAAATCTCATAAATTTGTCAGTGTTGACTTCAATAGTAAAAAGTATTGCACCATTGGTTTCCAACTTGGAATTAAGCTATGAGTACATAATGATACCCATAATGTTTCACATAATGACCACATGGCCACCAACAATTGGGGGTGCTTGGGCCCACACAGTCATCTCCCAATTGTTGGTGGCCATTATGTTAAACATTATGGGTAACCATTATGTACCCATAGCGAAACTCTCCAACTTATTACTCAAGTTAGCAATTTGGTCGACAACCTTAGGTGCTTGACCTGCAATTTGAAGTTGAGTTTCGTCTGCAGAAATTTGAAGTTGAGCATGTTTACGATGATTTAATAGAAGTTTTGAAAGATTTCCAAATTAATTTTGCGACTATATATTGAAGACTATCTTTCTCTTTCTTAAATAAGTTGGTCGTCCGTCTTTATCTATAGCCGTATCATTAATCAACAACTATCTATTTATTAAGGGTGTGTTTGATGGATATTATTGAGGAAAGAATGTATTTTAAATAGTGATATGATGATAAATATGTGATTAAAAAATAAGAAAAAGTTATTGATGTGATTGAAAATATTATTTTATTGAAAAATATGTAGTTAAAAATGTATTTTAAAAAAATGTATATCAAAACAAGGGGCTAATCGTTCCATGTCTTAACAATAAATATTTTGTTTTCCTACATGAATATGTGCCTAAAAATTTGAAGTGGGATATATTTCCATAAAGGCTAAATGAATTTGGTTTAAACAAAATCATATTTTTAATAAATTTTAATGAAATATGTGATTGAAAAATTGATAACAATTGTGAATTCCATCAAAAGTACGATTAAAAATGAATTTGAAGAAAAATGAATTTTAAAAAATAGGATCAAACATGGATAATTAGAAATATTTTTGACATTGTGATTGCATAATATAATTAAAGTTGGTGAATGCCATGCTCTTTTTAAGGGTGTGTTTGAGCCACATTATTTTGAAATAGTAGATTAATGGAGAATGTGTGGTTGAAAAAAAAAAGTTATTGATGCGATGTTAAATATTATTTTATTGAAGAATGTGTGATGCAAAATGAGTAGAAAAATGAAAATGAAAATTTTAATGTGACTCAAACAGAAGCTAAAAGTTAAAACCAATTGCCACTCGAAGGTTGACATAATGCCAAGTAGCAATCTATCATTGCACTGTTTAAAACACGGTCAACTTTTTCTATTAATCACATATTGCCAACATCTATTTTGTCAACCATTATATCATATTTTTCGGGCAAAGTAGCATTATTAGAGAAGGCTATCAAAATGTACGTGTAAAAAGACTGTGGGGGTGTTTGTTTTTTATTTGAGAATTGATTCTCATTTTCAATCACACATTCTTCAATAAAATAATATTTTCCATCACATCAATAATTTTTTCTTTTTTTTCAATCACACATTTTCCATCATATCACTATTCAAAATCAATTCTTCTTCCAAAAATCTCTCCCAAACAAGCTCTATATCTCCTATTAAGGGTGTGTTTGATGGATATTATTGAGCAAAGAATGTATTTTAAACAGTGATATGATGAGAAATATGTGGTTAAAAAGTAAAAAAAAATTATTGATATGATTGAAAATATTATTTTATTAAAAAATTTGTAGTTAAAAATAAATTTTGAAAGAATGTATTTTTAAAAAATGTATATCAAAACAAAGGACTAATCGTTGCATGTCTTAAGAATAAATATTTTGTTTTCCTACATGAATATGTGCCTAAAAATTTGAAGTGGGATATATTTCCATAAAGGCTAAATGAATTTGGTTTAACCAAAATCATATTTTTAATAATTTTTAATAAATGTTAATGAAATATGTGATTGAAAAGTTGATAACAATTGTGAATTCCATCAAAAGTACGATTAAAAATGAATTTGAAGAAAAATAAATTTTAAAAAAAATCTGATCAAACATGGATAATTAGAAATATTTTTGACATTATGATTGCATAATATAATTAAAGTTGGTGAATTCCTTGCTCTTTTTAAGGGTGTGTTTGAGTCACATTATTTTGAAATAATAGATTAATAGAGAATGTGTGGTTAAAAAAAAAGTTATTGATGCGATGTTAAATATTATTTTATTGAAGAATGTGTGATGCAAAATGAGTAGAAAAATGAGAATGAAAATTTTAATTTGACTCAAACAGAAGCTAAAAGTTAAAACCAATTGCCACTCGAAGGTTGACATGATGCCACGTAACAATCTATCATTGGACTGTTTAAAACACGATCAGCTTTTTCTATTAATCACATATTGCCAACATCTATTTGTCAACCATTATATTACATTTTTCGGGCAAAGTAGCATATATTGACATAATGCCACATGACAACCTATCATTAGACTGTTTAAAACACAGTCAACTTTTTCAACCAATCACATTTTGACAACACTTATTTTGTCAACCATTATGTCGCATTTTTCGGGCAAAGTAGCATTATTCAAATTAATATTGTTTGAAAATGGCCAACAGCCTATTATGACTCAAACGCAACAGGCAAATGATCATGCTACTTGCTGCATGTTTGATTGAGCTTAAAAATAAATTTCAAGGCAGGAATTTACCATTAAACCATGTATGTACGTGCATGTTTGAAAACTCTTTACGATATATTTGCATAAACAAAGGAAAAATAACTAACTAAAAAAAAAGGTTTCTTACTGCAATTGCACCGGTATCATCCAGTATTCCGGAGCCCCCAGAGGCAAAATTCACGCCATAAACAATTTTTTTACCCTTAGTTGATGGATCGGTGAATGGAGGAATATAAGTTGGAATCCCCAAATGCTCCCCAAGAAGGTCAATAACATTTTTACCATTGGTAAATCTTCCAGAAGGGCCAAATGGGAAGTCTATTCCATATGGTAGATAATCAACCTTGGCTATGGCGTTTTTGATGAAATTATTGTTGCCATTGTCAACTAAGGAACTCCCAAAAACAAACATTCCTTTGATTTTAGGTTCATGCTTTTCTCTATCTAAAGTGGAAGAATTACATGGGAGAAGGAAAAGAAGGAGAGAGAGACAAAAGAATGGAAGATTTTGGGGTCTTGTTTGAGACATTGGGGTGGGGAGAATTGCGGGTAGTTTTCTTGTAGAAATTGGATACGAGGACAAAGTGACTATAATGTGCGTGACATTCCTTTTATAGAGAGAAAGTGAGTACAAATATTTCTTTTATATATAAAAACAAAGGGGTGGGGTGGGTGTGTTTGGGGGGTGGGCGTGGGATTTAAAGACTTTCTTTAATTTTCATGTTCAAAGTGAGTTTTGTATAAAAAATTTCAAACAGTTCCATTTGGGAAGAATTTATAAATAGTCCAACTTGCCTCCAGAGCATATTTCCAAGTGGTAAAAGGGAAAGATGGAAAAACTCCAATTTTGCTTGAGATTGTCGCGTCAAGGATTCGAATCCTAAAATATGAATTTGACTCTGGATAAGTGCAAATGTACAAGCAATCTTTCACCATGTATCCTTGAAGGCATATTTTGCGATTAACCTCCTTCACCAAAATTCAGGACAATACAAAACAGGTGGGGATCATCAAGAATGGAGCTCGTCCTTTATAAATAGTCCAACTTGGTTTTTCCCATATGCAAAAACGTCAACAAAGAGGCATGCTCTGCAGTGGGCAGTTTGGCATCTTAATGGCCCACTCCATTGTCATAACTCTTTGGGGAAGTCAAATGTCAGTGTCATAGCATTATAATTCATAAATACATGAGTCGATCTCGATGTTGATTCTATTGGATACCGCAAGCCATGCATGATGAGTATGGAGAAATTAGGTCCAACTCCCTAACTTTTTACTTGATGTAGTTATGGATTTTCAACATTCAAAAGTGAAATTTTGGATCTCAATTCGAACTTGCCTATATTTAATACTTATTATTCGAAGTAGCCAAGTTTAACTCGAACTCGATAGTTTTTGAAGTATAAAAATGTATATTTTATTTTCAGAGTACAACTAAATCGGAATAAAATTCGAGAAAATCTAGTCAATCTAACTATAAAATTTGAGATGGGAACGTGGGTACTCTAGGCTCCACTTGTTGTACAAGTGGCTTCAAATGTCTCTCTAGAATTGGTCTACTCTTTGGCACATTAATCGTATAACTACGCATTAACTGCACATATATATTGTTGAATAGTCTTGTCAAAATAATTATGCCAGAAAGTACATTAAAATTGGTGGATCCCAATGTCTTCCTTCCCAAAATGAATAGGTCCAATAATCTTTGGCGCTTTAGATTGTATAAAAATGGACAGTAACTAATTTTTTTTCACGTCCCTTGTTCATCGATCCATTCCATTTTTAACATTTAAACATTCACAAAAGTCCAAGCACGAGAGAAAGTTACCGTTTTCAAAACTAAGTAAACTCTATGTTATGAAATTAAGAGAAAACAAGAGTGAGAGAAAATAATACAATATGTATGCTGTGCAGTGGCGGACTCAGCATTGAAACTCAACCCGGATGGACGTTGACTGGTTAACGTCGATAATCAGCTACCGTAAGAACGAGATCGTTTATTAATATTTAATTAAATAATGTTAAAAATTACTCAATATATATGTAAACATAGTAAAACTTAATTCAGTACAGCCCAAAATACTAAAGAAATAATAAATAACAGTCTACATATGGTTTAATTGAACTCAACATCATCTCTATTAATTTTTTTCACTTATCCCTAATTTTCTAAAAACCTAAATTCCCAAATCACAATTCACAAATCAAAATTATAACTCATAAGTCAAAACTCATAGGAATTACAATAATATAACAAAAGGAGGAAAAACAGATTGCTCCTAGGCAGCTGGCACTAGCAGAGATCGTGGCAAAATTCGAAGATTCATGGGTACTGGGTAGTGGGTAGCATAGTAATTAGCAAACTAGCAATATTGATTGAATTTTATTTTGTTACCTCATCCAAGTAGTTGCCAGTGAATTCCTTGTAATGGTTGTAAACTGAAGGGAGATGTGGCTTGCATCTTGTTGCAACTATCCTCACCACCTCTTCATTTTCCAAAAAATTCTTGTTACCAGTTGGCAGCAGGCCATGCTGCTCTTCCGACACTCGTCTCCCTCCTCTTCCTCTGCGGCTGCCGGTTTCAATTTAGGATTTAGAAATTGTATTTGGTTTTGTGGGTAATCAGTAACGGACTAATGTACTCAAAACCCATTGATTGGGCATTGGGCTGGGTGGCTGGCCCTTATTTAAAAAAAAAAAAAAAAAAAGCCCAAAGGTTAGGAAAGGAAAAAAAATAAAATTCATTGCCTTCTTCATTTCTTCCTTCCCGACAGATGGCGTCGACGACTAGCCTGAAGAAGCTCCTGACGGATCCAGCAACGGTGGCCGCAGGGGCTGGCCAGGTGCTGGGTCCGCCCCTGATGCTGTGCATTATCAGGCTAACAAGATATAGATTTGTGACAGCATTTACCATATAATAGATAATATATTTATTTATATAAATCTTCATGAAATTCGTTATGTTAAATTTCTTGCAATGCATGCTAGACTCAGTTTTTTCTCATTTTCTATTCACGTAAGTATACATCTTTTAAGTGTTTGGATAGTATGACCAGAACTTCAAATTTATCTAGTAAGTTTAATTTTGCGTAGATTGCACCTTTTTATTTAACTAATTATTTCTACATTGATATTCTTCAACATATTTTCTTTGGTATCCTCACTTTCATTCATAATTTGAAACGCTAAATTATAAAAGTGTTATCAACAACTTTTCTTTTCGATTTCATCTCTTTCTTCGTAACTACATAACTTATTAACTTCTTCTAGGAGTTTGTTATGTTATGTTCGTATAGTCATCGAAAGTATATGCCTCTTCATTCAAACCGCATTTATTCTTTTCTCCATTTTTCTGTTGAAATTTTTTGTCTTGGTATTTAATGATATAACGCTTCCTGCATGCCATATATTTTAAAAACTAGAATATTAACGATTTTCACTCTACTATATTAATTTGAGTTGAAGCATTTGTAGTTGGAAAATGAGACTTGGTTAATCATCTTGATCAGTAAATGCATGTAAATGAATTATTTATTGAACTTTTGGTTCAAATTATCTTGTACAAGGACCTAAATACTATAATTATGCATTATATTTATTATTTTCAACTACTAAATTCTTCCTCTTAATGTTGAGAAATCGTATTGCCAAAATGAAAGCCAGCAAACCGCGTTGTAAATATCACCGATTAGGGTTTAGAATATTTTATAAGGGTTCAAATCAAATATGTATTCTCATCAATTATTCAAAGTCCATCTCAGTTCATAGTGGTGAGGGACTATACATATATTGCGTTATAAGAATGTCTAAATGGAAAATATAAGGCTTCCGACAATAAGTCGAGTATAACAAGAAAACTTGATATTGGAATGATGCATGTGAGTGTTTTTATATGTATAACAGTTTTCACTGAGCAAAAACGGAAAGTGTAATGTTTTCGATTGTATTGGTTTAGTTAGTAATTAGTTGGAAGTATCGATAGTCAGTCGTGCTAAACTATCTTTTATTGTCTCAACTGACATACGTAATAAACAAAATTTGGGACGTAAATATTATCAAGACACGTTGTCTCGATGGTGTAATCTAGAAAAGGAAAGGAAAAAAAAAAATTCATTGCCTTCTTCATTTCTTCCTTCCTGACAGATGGCATTGGCGACTGGCCTGAAGAAGCTCCTGACGGATCTAGTAAGGGCGGCCGCAGGTGCTGGGTCCACCCCTTATATATTTATTTATATAAATCTTCGTGAAATTCGTTATGTTAAATTTCTTGCAATGCATGCTAGACTCAGTTTTTTCTCATTTTCTATTCTCGTAAGTATACATCTTTAAGTGTTTGGATAGTATGACAAGAACTTCAAATTTATCTAGTAAGTTTAATTTTGCGTAGATTGCACCTTTTTATTTAACTAATTATTTCTACATTGATATTCTTCAACATATTTTCTTTGGTATCCTCACTTTCATTCATAATTTGAAAGGCTACATTATAAAAGTGTTATCAACAACTTTTCTTTTCGATTTCATCTCTTTCTTCGTAACTACATAACTTATTAACTTCTTCTAGGAGTTTGTTATGTTATGTTCGTATAGTCATCGAAAGTATATGCCTCTTCATTCGAACCGCATTTATTCTTTTCTCCATTTTTTTGTTGAAATTTTTTGTCTTGGTATTTAATGATATAACACTTCCCGCATGCCATATATTTTAAAAACTAGAATAATAACGATTTTCACTCTACTGTATTAATTTGAGTTGAAGCATTTGTAGTTGGCAAATGAGACTTGGTTAATCACCTTGATCAGTAAATGCATGTAAATGAATTATTTATCAAACTTTTGGTTCAAACTATCTTGTACAAGGATCTAAATACTATAATTATTCATTATATTTATTATTTTCAACTACTAAATTCTTCCTCTTAATGTTGAGAAATCGTATTGGCAAAATGAAAGCCAGCAAACCGTGTTGTAAATATCACCGATTAGGGTTTAGAATATTTTATAAGGGTTCAAATCAAATATGTATTCTCATCAATTATTCAACGTCCATCTCAGTTCATAGTGGTGAGGGACTATACATATATTGCATTATAAAAATGTCTAAATGGAAAATATAAGGCTTCCGACAATAAGTCGATTATAACAAGAAAACTTGATATTGGAATGATACGTGTTAGTGTTTCTATATGTATAACAGTTTTCAGCAAAAACGGAAAGTGTAATGTTTTCGATTGTATTGGTTTAGTAATTAGTTGGAAGTATCGATAGTCAGTCGTGCTAAACTATCTTTTATCGTCCCAACTAACATACGTAATAAACAAAATTTGGGACGTAAATATTATCAAGACACCTTGTCTCGATGGTGTAATCTAGAAATCATGATCGTAATTTCAATTTTGATCAAGTAATCTTGCAAACTTCAAGTTGTGAATATATAATAAACGTCATATAATCAACTAATAGATATATCTATTAGATATAAATAAAATATAGATGGTCAACATAGATGGTGATGAGACCCCATATGGTAAACTAACATATGAATATATAGTGCTTTTGTGAAATTAAATTAAGTTATGATCCCTTGAAATGGGTATTTAGAAAGTAAGTTTAACCAACTTAAATTATGACTTAATATTTGTGTAAATATACACATAATATGAAATTGAAATATTTTCATATGCTTGGTTTCATAAAGAACCATTAAGTGATGGATTCTTCAAGAAAATATGGAAAAAGAATGAATTTTCTACCAATAACCAAAAAAAATAAAATTAATAATTATGTTAATAAACAAAAAGGACAATAAATAAAAGTTCATAAACAACGTAATATTTACCCGTAATTTTCAATATGTAATTGGTAATGGTTCATGAGAGATCATTAGAAGAAATTGCTCCATGCATAATTGGTAAAAATATACGGGACCTGAAAAATGTCATCTTCCTTATGACTCATCATTCATCAAGAGGATTAATTAAATATTTTTATAGAATATCGATTTAAATAAAATTATGAACTTAGCAATAGTCTTCTAGTTTAGTGACACGTATAAAAAGATTGCCTTTTTAGGAACTACAAAATAATATTCTTCTACAATTTCAATTCTTATAAATTGCATATATATAAACTGATTTAATTTTATGAGCGAAAACACAATATTTTTCCTAAATATTGATATTTATACATTTTTATGAACAAGAATATGAATATTTTCGAGCCACAATTTCTACTAGAGAATTATAAAATTGTGTTTCTTTATTAAAGTCAAAAGATACCAACATTAACTCTTGAGCAAGAGAGAAGAAATTCTTTTACTAGTTTAATTGACTAGGACTTTTTGTCTTTCTCTAAACAAAAATAAAATCAATTTTATTAAGAGCGCCTTATTTATGATAGAGAGCGTTTATAAATTTAGAGAGTCAAAATTTTTATACACTCAAACAAGGCTTTATATTTTGATTCTTTATTTTGCCTTTCTCAATAAATATTTATTGATTTATGCTCATAATTTTTTTAACATAATTTTTTTATATTAATTAATGACAATCAATTTAATTGTGGTTTGAATAATTTAAGAAGTGGAGTATTGAAATTTGTGACTTATTAAATGTAGTTATTGTATATTAAGAATATAGAGTAAGTTTGACTTTCCAAATTAGAGAATCTCCAATGTTGTACTCTTTAAAAATAAGATTATACATATTTTAAAGAGTAAACTTTAAAATTATGTTATAAGAGACTCTTTAAATTAATATTTTAAAATAAAGATTGTGTTTGACTATCCAAATTTGGAGAGTCAAATTCACTCTCTATAATTGAATGCATTCAAAGTATTTCAATTTTCAATTAAAAAAATAATATAATAATTTGGAGGGAAACTATTGAAAATAAAAGAGTAATGCTATTCATCCCCATTGGGGATAAAAACACAGTTTATGTGGCTCTAATGTGGCATTAAATGATAGGTGAAATTAAATAAGTCATTTAATTTCACCTTTCATTTCACCTATCATTTACAGTCACCTAGATTGTGTTTTCATCTCCACTGGGGATGAATAATATTACTCAAAATAAAATATACAGAAAAATAATAAATAGTTTTTGGGAGTAGTAAAATTAAGTGTTAAAGATAAAGAGCATGCTGGAATACTTAAAAATTTTTACTCTAAATTTATAAATACTTTTTAAATGGCTAAATGCGATTTTTAAAAATAAAAAGTCTCTTGAATATGTTATGGCTTAAAAAGCTACGGCATAAAGTGCTCGATTATCTTGATTAACAAATACATAGAATTGTTGGTTCATAAAACCAGAAATTAAAAACAACTTATTTAAGAAAATAAGGATTATCTTGATAAATTAATTAGTTATTAATAAATCGATGAATTAATAACTTATTAATTTTTCGACGATTTATTATTTTAGCTCAATCGATATATTTTCTTTCATTCCAAAGCTATTAATTGATAGATGTTTAACTGTATAGTTGAGTGAAAACTCTCTACTCTTTTATCTTATTTCCATATGGATTTTTCCTGGTTCAAACTAATATCTTGTAGTTTAATGGATAATTAGCACAAACCCCTTGAATTTATCTCTATCATGGAATACTTCATATCCTTTCATTTTAGTGCAAATCCTCTATATGGCTCAAACCTTGCGAAATACTCTCATACCATACAATTCCGTTAGTTTAACCATTAAGTGCAGCAAACATGGAAAAAAAAAAGATAATTGGCATAGTACTCCTCAATGTTTGCCTGGTTTGGTAATACCTCCTAACATGTCATTTTTACACAAAATCTCCCGGATCACCCAAATATTGCATAATACAACATTTTCATCCTTTTTTCGTGTAACATTGTAAAATAACGAATTTACCATTCTCGTTAAATAAACAAAAAGAAAAGAAGAAAAAACATTAAAGAATTAATTTTAGTTATAACCCTAATTTTTTTCAAAAAGTGAAAACGAGATTATAAAAATTTAAAAGCACCACACCCCTAAAAAACTCAAATCGTGCTATGTGTACATGCAATTTTGCCATAATGATTTACTGGAGGATGCTTGACGTTATTCTATTGGATATTGGAAAGAAAAAAAAAATCCAATCACACAGGTGTTATCAGCACAGTATCTGTACACCTCACCGTACAAAATCCCCCTGTACAAGGGGAATAACCCTAAAAACTAACATGTTGGAACAGTAGGACAGAAGAATCAGGTACCCACGGATTCTCGAGTGCGCTACATGAATTTTGCTGCTTGTATGACACATCCCCACGCTACATTGAGGCACCAATAGCTTGATTACAGTGAATTACACTGATCGTAAGTCCTAATGGCAACTCTTGGCCTACCAAAGTTCTCATTTGTTTGGTTGTCCTCTAATGGATAGGCTTTCCCAGCAACCATCCCTCCAATAAGTGTAATACACTTGAGCCCATGTTTGGTGACCAATTTTATTTAAAAAACATTATTTTGAATATTGAATTTTTGGAGAATGTGTGGTTAAAAAGTAAGAAAAAATTTTAGATTTACATATATAATATTTTATTGTGTCAACGTGTTATAGAAAATTAAAACGTAGAAAAAAAAAATTGAAAAAATTGAAGATAAACAGGGACTGGGGAATGTGTGCAATTATGGTGATCTCCATGCAGTAATAACTTTCATTTTATAAGGTTTTATGGAGAAAAGGGGTGAACATATTGTATTGCACAAAGTTTGTGTGATTTAGGGGGTTTGCACCACATAAATGGATATTAGGTATTTTATGCAAAAAGGGGCAAACGTTGGTAGGGTACTGTGCCAATTATCTTTTTTAATTTTGGCTCTATTTGATTGTACTTATCGGTTAAATTATTGGAATTGGACGGTAGAAAATATTTCACAAGTTTTGGGTCATCTAGAGGATTTTGCACATGTTGACATACAAAAATAAGGCCCAATTAAATGAGGCCCAATGATTAAATGCAGCCCAATTATGTGGTCCAAGAAATGGAGCCCAGTTAGGGAAATTGAGGAATAGACCTAAATAAGACCATTGTAAAATATAATGACAGCCAACGAGTAGAGGACTATCATCGTCCAAACTTGTAGAACGCCCAGGATCCAAGAGAATGATATACCCCATTGTTGCTCAGAACGACAGTCTCACTCTCGCCCTACCTTCGAGACGCTCAAGTTCTGGATGAATATAGCGTTTTGTTCAGTTATTAAAGCGGTTATTGATCAACCTTATCACACCCCCACGATCCAAGAATCTCAGTTACAAGCGGTTAAANCACGATTCAAGAATCTCGATTACAAGCAAATAAACAACAAGAGCAATAACAACAGTTGATAGCGGTAGTTCCTTGACAAGTCAGTTATCACGAAGAAAGTTGATAGTTATAGAGCGCCAAGTAGTTTCTAAACAGTTCTACAAGAGAAAATCGACAAAGGAGTATAAAAAGGAAAAGAAGACATAGAAGGAAAGGACCTCGAATCAAACACCCTCAACAGAAAATATGTAATTTCAATTCATTTACTTTCTATTTATAAATTTTCAAATTACTTCGTGTGCTTGTACCCCTTGGAGGCGTTATGCTCCTTTCCAATTGTAATCTTCATAAATAAAACACTCATTTTTTGGATTTTGTCTCAAGAGGTTTGTTCCTTATATAATCGTTTGAACATTCCTTTTAATTGTTAGCGATTATCCGTGCGAAACAGCAACAAAATAAAAGGATAGAGGAGTATTCAAAAATAGAAGCAAAGCTTAGGGAGTTTTGTACCAATTACCATTTTTTTATTTATTAAGGTTGATTATATTGACACCATAAATTTTACTTGGGAAACACATTTTAATTATACTCAAGGTCCCCAAGTTTTGATTATTATATTACTCGTGTCTCTAAATTTTTGTCGTCAAATATTTATATTCAAACTTCCGTTAATCAGCATATCTCATTGTTGACTATGGATTCTCTCGACGTTCCGTTCTCATGCTAGGAAAACAAATTAACGACAATTTTGTATTTATTATCTTTTAAAATATGGTACACAAGTAAGAATTTTACGTTCTCAACTAATTCTTAGGTGCAAACTGTTAGCATAATAAGGTGTATTAATTAATAGAAGGTTGAGAATAAAAATGGGACGAAAAATGTTAAGAATATAGGTGCTAATGAACAAACTTTAGGTTTTTGAATTGAATTAAAATTTGATGCAACTATTAAAAAATTATAGCTACTCACAATAATTTTAAAACCACTTTTTACTTGAGATTTTCTTTCTGACGGGAGAAAATATGTGGACCTTTCGTCGGTTTGTCAACTCTTCGCACACGCACAGTTAATCAGAAATTCTTTCTTTCAGAATTCAACGCTTCGAGGAATCAATCAACCCCTTGTACCTGAATCCCATATCAGCCATCAATAAACTGATTCAAAACAAATTGAAGAGGTTCTTCTCTCGGATCCCTTTTCTTTTATTAGCCCAATTATCAATTTTAATTAATTTGTGGCTATTTCTTGAATCTAGATTCCAATTTGTTTGAGAATGTCCTTTTATGTTTCTTTGCTAATTGTCTAATTATCGTCTTTTGGCGAGAAGCCATTTGGTGAAAAGTAGTTTTTACTGTTTTTACAGAGTCTCTTAAGGGAAATGAATGTAGTTTCATTGCGGGCAGTCTTGAATTTTACGGTGAAGGGATTCTAGATTAATTTACATTTTTGAAGCTTTGAAAAATGTGCTGTTGTTATTTGAAAATTTAATTGAAACGTTAGGTATTATCTCAAGTCGGATTATGTTGACCGTTGGATTCAGACTTCATTCAATTTTTCCTTTTATTTTCAGTATGCATGGTAGTTTGTCGTTAATTATTCATTTCCTGCTAAAAGCTCTTATCAGTTACACTTGGGAACATTAATGAGTTCCCAAGTGGCAGTCTGCAGTATTAAGGAAAAAGAGAGTTAAAATCTTGTTTATTCTACTGTGGTGTAGAGTGCTGTCCAGTAATGTGTACTATACGTGCACTTAGAAGTTAGATATGCTTGTAATCCACGACAATGCTCGAGTAATCTTGGATCATGATTAAGAAGCGAGCATAAGTTCTGGGCAAATAATTTTCATTAATTGATTTTGTGGTTAACTAGTTCTTGAAGTAATTTGAACTAATATGATATGGTTCTCATAATGTATGGATAAGGTATAATTTCGGTATTTTTCTTTTTACTTCCCGAATACGCTCATTTGTCCTGGAACTATTAATAATTTAAAGATAATTGTTCTCATACATTTGAAAAGATGGGTGGTGTTGTGGTCATTTTTGATCTGAATGTACTTAGCAAGTAGATGGTAAGTATACTAGAAGAAGCCGATGTTTCAAAGATAGGAATGCTTGATTGGCAGAGATGGATTGGCTTCGATTGACCTTCTTACTATAAGAATGCTAGAAAATCAGCTCCTGACCACTGTAGCTACGAATAAAAGGAATAAGCACTCAAAGCTAAAATCAGCTGCTATTGGACTTTTTTTCCATGGTATCACACCTAGCAATGCAATCTCTGTGAAGGGTTAGCAAGGGAAGCAGCTTTGTTGATTAAAGAAAGGACCAGGCGTCTAGCACTTCTGTCTTGTGGGGATACCCACCTCGAACATCAAGCAAATGTGAAAAGTTAGCATGTTTTACCCTAGTTTATAGTAAGCACACAATAAAACGCTTTTAAAGAATCTAGCGCTTTTAATTTGTGGGAATACCCGCCTCGTATTGGTACATCAAGCAAATGTGAAAAGTAAGCATGTTTACCCTAGTTTCTAATAAGCAAAAAATTCACGTTATTAAAGATTGAGTGAATTAACCTTCTTTTATTGGTCCCGGAGGCCCCTTACGTACCACGCAATTATGTTTCTCATTGTGGAGAATAGGGAATAAGAAGCAAGGTAATAATATGGCAAGGAGTAGTTCACTTTCCCCACTCCAAACATACCCAAGGTGAGGGAGGCTTCATTTAAGAAGCAAGATTGGCAAGGCATATACTGTCCACATAGAGCTCGGTAGCCAACTAATTAAGGAACTCCATATTCTAGGGGTGGACATGGTTTGATTCGGCGGTTTGCGACAAAATTTTCAAATCAAACCACTTAAAACGATTTGAAATTTTTTGAAACCAAACCAAACCACACCATTTCAATATCTAAACCAAACCAATCCAAACCACTTCTTTTGGTTCGGTTCGGTTTAAAACCACTGTTTAACAAAGAAAAATATAACATATCAAGTTAAGTAATAAATATTAGTTTAAAATTTCACGTTAAAACATAAATAATATCATTAAAAATATTACAAATTAACCAAAGTTCTATAATTCTAATTATTATAATGCAACAACGTGATATAAACATTTTAATCTCTTAGTCTATACTAATTGACGCAACATTTGCAATTATAACACATGGTTCATTTTCTCCATAAAAATAAGAATATAGCACATGATGTAATTGATTATTGTTAAATGAAATAAAATAACTAAATAAAGAAAATGAATATAAAGATCAAATACGATAATACATTCTATAACATTTTTGCGAATTATTTAATGATTCTACCTCATCTAAATATTGAAGAATTACTATAGGTTTCTTCTTATTATGCTACCAATGTTTAGGGAAAATCATTGCCTTTACCATATTTTTACTCAACGTAACTGTTAAAGGAATCAAGAATCCGACCATTAGTAGGGAATGTAGACTCAGGAATAGTTGTGAATATTTGAATAGCTAACACATCTTTAACAATTTGGGGGACAATCTTGTACTTTTTTGTTTGCTTTCAATTTACACTAAAGTAATATGTCGAAAGACTCATTGGTCAAATATTCAAAACGACATTTAAGTAAGCCACCAAATCATTCTAGTAATTAATAGTAAAGTCTAAAAACTAAGTTGAAATATAAATAATTTATTGAGTGACTTGACCATGAAATTGGGACGCAAATAACCAAAAAGTGATTTCCACTAAAAATTTAAGGGATCTCGTAACAAATTAGAAGAAAATAAAATAACTATCGATAAAATATAGCAAATAATTATAAAAAAAATAAGAAAATTTGGATAAGCATACCTGAAAATTTAGTCGAAATCGAAAAAATTATCAGTGAAAGGAAAAAATATGTAAGTTTGAATTAAAATCTAGATTTAGTTGTTTACTCAATTGGGGTAGGATGAATATGATTTAGCAACGGCTGTTCTATGCTTCACCCAATTTGAGGGTTTTGCATTCGGAATTGTAATGACTGATGGGTATTTAAGTATGATTTCCTTAATTAATTGGGATGGATAATTATCTATTTGTGTATTGAGTTTAATTGAATTATGTCTAATATGTATGTAACTTTTTAATTGGGATGTGTTTAGTTTTAATTAAGTCGGATAAAACTTAAATTAATTTATTTTCAAATTTTATTGGTAAACGGTTTGAAACGGTTTGCAAAGATTGAAACCTAAACCAAACCTAAACGGTTCGGTTCGGTTCGGTTCTAAACTAAAACGTTGAGGGGTCCATGTGGACCCAAACCAACGGTTTCGAAAAAGCGGTTTCGGTTTGGTTTTGTAGTTTGGCGGTTCCGTTGTCAGCCCTACCATATTCTATTTAAACTGAAACGGTTGGAGTTTGATATTGATCGCCTTCGCTAACATGTAGTAATTAATCTTTCTCTTTCTGGTTGTTTTCATGTATCAAATCCAATGTCCTCTTTTTATGAGTATGAATTCGATTTAGAAATTTGAATCGAACTAGCACTAATAACGAGAAGAGCAAACTGCTTTTAGCTCATATTCAAGCTCAGAGGGATACAACTAATTATGATAGATAAGTGGTAATAAAATAGGGTGTGGACATGGCAAACCTCCCACTATAAATAAGAGAGATGCCCTCTCTAATAGCTTAAGCATTTGAACCCTTCGGAGAGTGGACAAACTTATTGCATAAAATGCCAACATGTGAATCAAATTCGTTATCTTAGTAAGTCTTATTTCAGGCGAAGGAAAAGTGAAGAGAGTTCAATTTGTAATTTTAGGACATTAGAGGAATTACCGAAGTTTTTTTTGTTGCTGGTAATTCTAATTGTAGCTGGAGGGAGTTCATTAAATCAAAATGCAATCACTTTTTGTTGATGTATATATAACCACGTGTTCAATTTGGGATTTTTCTTTTCTCGGCTAGGAAGCACTTCTCAATATTTTCTTGCTACCAAACAAATGGAATATTTAAAACAACAAACTTTTCTTTTCTTTTTCTTTTTTCATTTTAACCTTTATTGTACTTGATAGTTTAGTTTGTTCGCACTTCCTTTGCCATTCCTTGTGTCTTTGGACTACTTTTAAAGGGTAATATTATTTGGGGATATTGTTGGTTAAATGTAAGGTGAAATACTAGAATATTTGTCTTTATGAATTTATTTGTTGAAGGTATATTGAACTAAGGCACAATTAATTGGTTGATACATCTGTGTAGGATTCCCATCATCAGGACATAGAATTTTTTATCATTCTAAATGGTCATTTTGATTTGGTTCTGCTAGATATGAAGCTTTTTGCCACCATCTTATTGGATGCAAAAGCTGTCATGTCAACACTATGGGGGTGACAAATAAACTGTATACTTTCTCAGGTTTGTAACCTTAGTACATGTTTGGAACACAATACTCGGTAGGATTGGACGTACAATAAACGAGATTTAGCTTGTTTTTCTTCCCTAATGCTGTCCATTACTATCGGATCCTTCCTACCAAACATATCATCAAGGATATTCAGAATTTCCTGCAACCTAGCACTGAATTAATAGCATGACTTCTACCACTTGCGTAGCATATCAGTAGTAGCTACTAGACAAACTTAAGAAGGCAAGAGAAGTGCTTTTAAATGGTAGAGCTAATTAAGGTTGTTTCAGTTTAGATGACAAATTTGTTGGCAGTGAAGGAATAGTCTTCCCACCTGCATTAGTGCAGTGGTTAATCGTTCTTAAAGAAGACAACAGTTGTTAATTTGTGCTTCAAATCAATGAAAGCTGAAGTTTTGGACTGCATCTAAAGAAATCCTCTGTTATTATTGAAGGCCGAATGTGTTCTGATTTGATCTCTTAATAATTGCATGTTGAAACAAATTAATATCATGGCTTCCTTTTTTGTCAATTCCATTAGAACATTTGGCTTTCGGTTTTAGTTTCATTTTGATTTAAGCATGTGAACTGCACTTTCTTCCTACCACTGTCTGATGACATAAAGGCCTGTTTTATTGGACAATGGCGTAATGAGTGGCTTTTGAAAAATGCATGGAGGTTAATTTTCTTTTTACCCTATAATCAATCGGGATTTCCAGGCCCAGGACGGCCTCAAAAGTAATAAGGCAATAAGCCTGCCCATATGTACTTCCGTATCATCTGCTGTTGGGTCACTGAGGAAATAGAGGCACAGGATTTTTGGCATTCTGTTTTCTTCTTTACCCCTTGTCTTCATTTTTCAAAATCGCAGCTGGCCAGTAGTCATAGCCAAATCTTGTTTCATTATTTTTTTCTAATATTTTCTATTACTGGTCGTGCACAGCACAGGAAGGGCGGACTGCATTTTAGAATTGGGTGAAGGCCAATATGAGTTTGGCTTGTCTTGTATGCCATGGTGTAGAAAGTCCATCACATTCCTTAAGAAGTTACTCGGTATCAAGTTCAGACAACGAGGGACGATGTTCTGCAATTGCCAATTGCTTGACTAGGAAGACTTCATTTCCACATCCTCGAGCTAACCCTCGGATTACACCATCAAAAGTGATGCCTCAACCCTCCGTCCCCAGTAACGTGGTCGCAGGTGCCCCACGTCTAGTCCGAAGCTGTGCTGTTAGACGGGACCTTGTGAGAGATTGGAACTTTGATGAAGTTATGTTGGAGCGCTAGTCGAGAAACCAGGGGTAGGAAGAGAACAAAACAAACAACCCATTGTCACCTTCTGAACTCGAGAGGCAGAGCTTTGAGTTTAGTCTTTTCGTTTTTCTTTGTTCTGGTAAAGTTACCGTTTGTGTGTAGTGAGTGTATGAGCATTTGTAGAAATGTTGATGGAATTTGACTCAAAACTTCTGTCTACAACTCTAGATTTATTTGCTTCCGTAATCTTTAACCTATTGTGTCATATTTAGCTGCGCGCAAAAGTTATTTTTCTAGAAAGCAAGTTGAGATTACTAGTTTTAACTTAGAAGTAATCAAAATGTCTATATTTACCTTGTGTAATTGAGTAGTAATTAATTAATTGTTTTTAATTATGTGGACCAAAGCTTGAGGATCGAATTCCAGCTAAGATTGAGAAAGGAGCTTCCTTTAGCCCCCATTTGGCTCCCATTATTTGAGATTATATTTTTTGGAATAGTATATTTTTTAAGAATGTGTGGTTTGAAAAAAGGATTTTTTTTTTTTGAATTTACGTGTAATATTATTTTATTGAAGAATGTGTGGTTGATAAAAAGAGAGAAAAATAAATTATAATTTTATTAGGGGCCAAACATGAGCTGAGACCACAAATTCCTCGTTAAAAATCTTTACAAGGTTTTTAACAGTACTCGGGTCTAATCAATTGATAAGTGACGTAATGGATGAATCAAATATAGAAAAATAATATTATTCATTATTAGTTATTACTATGTATTTTAATACATTGAAAAATGAATTAGATAGTACATTATCAGTGATCAAGAACAATTAATATTAACCGAAGTTTAAACTCTTTAAAAACATTTTAATAGGAAAAATTAGTTAGTACTTCACAATAAAAAGAAGGAAAATAATTTAGAATCTTATTTATCATATCATAAATTCTTAATCAATACCCTATCCCCGATCATGTACTAAGGTCTAAGGGTATGTAAATCGTACATGATTAGAGAAGAAAAGATATAGGAGGAATTTATTAGATATCGTGTCTAATTTTGTATACCTAACTTTTAACAAGCAATAAATGCGTTGCTGCATTCTCAAACGCTCATTATATAGGGTTATATTGGGTGGGTAGTAGCCCTATCTTCGTCAATTTTATTGATGTGAACAAATTCAATGATATGTTTGCCAGAAAGCATTCCAACACACGTGTGCCGACATTCTTCCAAGGATTATAAGATATTATGAACAAAAAAAAAATGAAAAATGAAAAAAAATAATAAAAAGCCCTCATTCAATTAATGTGAATTATTGATGAATGAAGGTGAACAAGAGATTGGACCTATGAAACATGTACGATGGGATGTGTCCAAGAAGTACTTCAATTGCATAGTGCAAATCAAGAATATCTATCTTTGTATTTTCTTCTACTTCTTAAAGCTGAATACGCGGTCGTACTCTCGCTCCCATCCAAGGATTTTGTGATCATATGACTTTTAGAACATGCCCGGCTAAGCTTAAAAGCACGTAACTTTTATACTTTTTACATCTATTAGTCATATTTGAATAATCTACTATTTTCTTACTTTAAATAAAGAAAATATTTATTTTGAAAGCAATTCTTGATTAATAAGTCATAAAAATTTTAAAAGTAATTAAATTAAAAAATTAAAAAAAAAAAAAAAAGCCCGACAAAGGCTACTTAAATATATGTCCTAAGAATCTTCACATCCACCAAAAAATCCTTGGTTTTTTTATTGCATGTTTCTCATTTAAATACAAAAAAGTTAAATCAATAGAAAAGGTGTCCTATAGATTTTTAAGTATAGATAGATACTCAATTTAAAGCCTACAACCAGTTGTAATAGATTATATAAGCGCTTTGAAGAGAGTTTTAGGTAGAAATTCCCTACATTTTGGGGTGGAGAAATTCTTCCAAGGGTGAATAAATTTTAACGAATTTAGTCCCAGTAAGAAAAATTCTTTATCGTCTTTGTTGTAATGTAATTCTATTATGAGATAATCTGTGGGCACATATTTTAGGTATATACACAACTATTTATCAACTATTTATCGTAAAGACTATTAAAAGACAAATTATATAGTATCTAGTCGCACCGTTTTGTTTGACAAGTGATATTTTCTTCTTTTGATATCCAGCTAGCTATGTCAACGAGTCGAGTTGAACTAAAAAAAGAACTCGGGCTTGATTCGAGTTTTTTTTGGCTCGAGCCAAGCTAAGCCTGGTAAAAAAAAAAGAGATTCGGTCCAAGCTTTCGGCTGAGCTTGAGCAGGCCGAGCCGGCTCAAATTTTTTGGATTTTTTTTTAATTAATTGAAAGGCTGCCTGCAGGTAGCAACATGCTGCCTTTGCAGGCAGCTCTTTTAAAAAAATTAATTAATTTTTTTTTAAAATAATGGACAGGCTCGCCTCGGCCACGGGCCGGCCCGAGCCCTGGCTTGGTGTAACCTAGCCCATGACGGGCCCAGCTCGAGCTTTTTCCGAGTTGACGAGCTTTTTTGCCATCCGTATATCCAGCTCAACAAATGTTCAATTGTTAAAACTTAGAAAGAAAATAATTCCAACAAAAAACTCTTCCTAACCCAAACACAGTCTGTACATAGATTTCTCTATCCACGAACAAAGCATTATTGATTTATATTTACGATTTCGAGAGTTATTTTGTTTTTTTTTTTGTTGAAAACTTGAAAAATATGTAAGGAGTTCTGCTAAATTTTCAAGTTATGCTTTATTTTATTTATTGATCAAATTAACTAATAATATTAAAGAAGGGAAAATTGTCTTATTATGCCTAGGCTTCACCTAGACATGCCTAGATTCCAACGTTTAGTACTTAATGCCTTATTTCGTTTTGTGCCTTCTAGAACTTTCTATATCATATGTATACCAGCATCAAAACCTAAAAGGATTGTTCACTCGTTGCATATTTAGTATTTGAAACATGTTTATTCTATCATGGGAAATTATCAATAGCTCGTAATTATTTATTGCAATGTCAAATCATATTATCATTATTTCCTTCATCACAATAATTGTAATTGCAGAGCATAATATTCATTTGAATGCTACAAAAGGCTGGTTATAACAAAGAATCTCCCTCTAATGAGTGGTAGGATATATATAACATGAAAAGCCTGGTTTAAAGTGTTCATTTTTGTTATAATTGCTTGTGAAAATGAGACATTCAGATTGATATGAAATGACAATTGCTTATCCACAAATAACATATTTTTTACACAATACTCGATAAGATTGGGGTGTATTCACAAGATTTTTAACTTATTTTTCTTCTCATCCATTACTGTGTAGTTCACTTCACCAAACAAGTCATCGTGATTGCAAAAAACCTAGTTACCTTTCATCTCTGAGTATGCATTACAATAAGCAAATAAAATGACGAAATAGATTCATGTAATGAATTCTAAATTTATTGTAAAAATTATGGTATGCTTAATTTGTTTATATTGAATTTTAAGACTTTAGGGCTATAAGTTTATATCTTTTCTACATTTTTATGCCACTCTTTCTAGCTTAATTAAAATAGTGCATGTGGTGGAAGCTTAATTCAAGGGTTGTCAAAACTGTGTTTTTCGGGCTCAATTTCACGTTACATTTCTCTACCAAACAATCAATTCAAACGACTCCAATCCACAATCAATATATTCACCTTGGTTGCTCTTCAATCTTACTCACAAAGGACAAGAAAATAGTGATGATTTGAAGCCACAAAATCAAGAAGAAAAACTAGTGAAAGAGACACAAAATGGAGACCAAAGATGAAGGAAGCAAGTGACGGTTTTTAGAAGTAATGGCAGCCAGATTTTTCTCTCCACAATGCACACATGTTCTCTCTCGATAGGGTAACCTCGTTTTTTCCTTTCACACTCAAATCATCCACAAAACGGCTAAGGCAAAGAAGTCATATATATAGGCTAGGTTAGGCTTTAGTTAGACCAATAAAACAGGTTAAATGGACCAAGATTCAAAGTCATTCAAAAGATAATATACATATGGGCCATCAGCAATATTAATTGTTTAAATTACTTTCAACTGCCCACGTTGTTTTTTGGGTTGAGCCTTTGGATTTGATTGTTGGTAATAATTTAATCCAACGTTTACATTATCATCCAGGATTCATTGGGTATCAAAATCGAACAAATCTCTACCTTGATACTCAATCAATCTGCAAGCAATCAAAACACAAAATTAACGCTTGAATAATTAAGGCAACCAATAAAATCGGAATCACAGACATTACCTAGTGTTTCGGACCCGAAACACATACCATACCGTTTCATGTACTCACTAGAGCTAACGCCACAAACAAATACCCAAGTAGATGTAGATAATCACAGTAATCAATTAAGAGCAAATAAACATGTGGTGGAGATATCATATAGGATAAAACAGATCTTTCCAAAAAAGAAACGTTCACACAGAACAACAGTTAATCAATCAAGCGGCCAATACATAAATGACCCCACGAAAAGATCTCACCTCACTTATCATATCCCATTTCGTGTTGCTCACACCTCGAGAATACATATCTCACATCATCGTCCAACATGCTCACTAGACTAATCACTCAACTCATGTCTAACTGGTAGACCTCTATAGATCCTAAGTCCTTGAAATAATCATATATCACCACATCACTTCTCCCAACCTAAATGTATAATGGGTCTCCACGTAACAGAAGTGATTGAAGTGCCTCTCTCACACTCCACCTGATCAGGGTTTCTTCATAGATAAATAATTACAACATTTAATCACCTCTCCACTTGTGATCCAAACGTCACACTCAAAATACCTGGTACAAACCACCAATATGCCCCTAGACATTTATACTACATCTCACCAATAAACATACAACATACTGCTAATGCATCTTAACCCACTACGTATGCAAACAATTACACCAAATAATTAAATTACTAATACTGCTAATGCATCTTAACCCACTATGCAAGCAAACAATTACACCAAGTAATTAACTTGCTCTTAAAATT